AAAAAAAAAAAAAAAAAAAAAAAAAAGGTAAATGGAAATGGGAAACGGAAATATCCTGTGCATCCACGGAGTTTATATATTTTTTGGTGCATGAACACTTTTGCTCTCGGAGTTCTGGCACCTCTGATGAATTTAAGTCCTACTGGTATACAACAATCAACACACCTGTCACAAGGCTGACAGTTCTTCCTGTATGTGATCTTTTTGATTGAGTGATAAAAGTCCCAAAGAGGCTTCTTGAATCACCACAACCCCCTCAACGATGAAGTGAGCAAAGCGGAGGGACAACAAGCCACTACATTGGGAACCAGGCCAGGTAGACAGACACACGGATACATCTCTCCATCTATATAACAAACCCGTCTGGTGGCCCCTGGAAGAAACGAGGGTTGGGCAAGAAGAGATCTCAGACTGACCGGTAGGTTCAAAATGGCTGTGGATGTCGATCGGGCGGGTGGTGTCTCGATCTCCCTCAAAAATATTGATAACTCAACCTTTTGTGTGCTCAAGGCTTGATGAGTTGAGTCTGGACTGACTCGATTCTTACCTGACACCTAAGTGGCGGGAAACCCTTTCACAAAAAAGTTACCATGGAATGAATGGAGTTGAACTGGTCTTTTTAGCTGTACCATTATGAAAATTGTGTGTAATTAAAAAAGAAAAGAAAATCGAGCGGCAAAAAAAAATTCTTTTAATTATTATGCTTTCCCTATTTTCATTTAGAAAAAAAGAAGAGATGCAAAGATAACGGGAAATAGACATTGAAGGTTTCGTAGTTGGCCGTTTACACTCGGATATGACAGTGGGCAAGGGACGAGTTAAGGGAAGAATGGCATTATTGAGATGGTTTGGAAGATCTTTTTGTATTCCCTTGTATTCTTTTCTTTAACTTGTTATTTTTTTAATTTTTTAATTTTTAATTCCTTCTCCATTTTCCATTTCACTCTTCGTCTCCGATCTAGCATGGCAGAAATATATTAGCGCCCGTCTCAGACAGACTGCTCAATATTACACGAAAAAGAGTGGAAGAGAAGCAATAGCAAATGCTTCCCATGAGAAAAATTGTAATATATATACGTATGACATACCTTTGGTGCAAGGAAGAATCTCAGATGACCACTGCCCAATCCGTATTCAACTAGCAGCGGCACCTCCTGTGAGAGGCACAGACGAACAGACGTCGACAGGCCTGTGGCCTTGCAGAAATTGTTAAGGTATTTAAGGGAGAAGGTGAGAGCGACGGGCTCGGAGAGGTCGATAGAGACGTTTTGGTCTGGCTTGTCCACATTTGTGTGTTGGCGGAGAGTGATGGCACCGTTACCAATCTCACCCTGGCAGGAGAATTTGACGCCATCTTTGTTGGCTTCGATCATTACTGTTCGGATATCGTTAGATTGGCATATTTTTTTTTTTTCTTCAATGCAAAAGAAAAAGGCCAAAAAAAGGGTTTTTCATTCCTTAAAATGAAAAATGTGGTAATACATACCCGACTCCGACAAATTTCCCAAATCCGTACAGATCCTCCTGAACTCCGTTGATGGCATCTCAACGGTAGCCGCATACTCCGTTTCCGGAATAGCAAGGTGCTCCTGGTCAATGTCCATAAGCTTGATATCATACTCGCTCAGCCGGTCCGTTTCCGCGCTCTCAAAGACCAGGTTAATAACGTCGGGGGAATCTTCCGCCTTTAAAGTCAGAATGTCTTCGTTTTGTGCAGCCCGCAGTACTTTCGTAAGAGAGACCAGGTTAATTCCCAGCGCGACGTTGCGGTCGCAGCGATAGGGGGAAAAACCCTCTGCTTTCAGTATCATAGAGACCAGGGCCACGTGTGAGTTGTCCATGGCTTGCAGGGCGATTCCAGAGTCATTACAGTCGAAGTTACAGTCCTGGACCAGGTCCTTGATGGCATCAACGACCTTTTTTTTTCGGTAAAGGTCACTGTCAGCTTTTATATCGTATTTTCGTGAATTGTGAAATCAATGGATGTCAATGAAGCTATATGTAAGGCCTCCCTACCTTCTTCAACAAGCTGGCTTGTTCTAGCCGCGCTTCCAACACTATTATTACATGTCTCTATCAGTCCCAGATCAACTTAATAGTCGTTAGAATTCCATTACGCACTCTTGTCAATTGGGTTCTAGAAGAGCCAGAGGAGGAGAATGGAGGTAATAGCGGAGGTGTTTGGCGGGGTAGTTATTTGACGTTGGCGGGATTCTGGTGAGATATCAAACTCGTCAGCATGGAAACGGCAACAGGGGCGAAAATACGAACAGGCTTACACTGGTACAAATTTGTGTGTGTGTGTGTGTGTGTGTGTGTGAATCGGACGCAGTGAGTGTCGGGCAGCTTTGAGAAATGTCAAAGTGGGTTTGACTTGGAGGAATCTGGAAGTGTCCGTCGCGTGCAGACACGCATCGCGTGGATTGAGCATCACGTAATTTCGCCAATTTCGCGTTAGCGTATTTCCTTTGGTCCACCCAGAACTCTTGTGAGAAGCGATATCAAAATGCATGAAGAATCTTATTCTAAAAAACATATCTATCTATGGGTACAGGATTCAAGAAAGGGAACAAAATACATTATGTAATCTACAAGCATGCAAGACGGCCAATTCAACCGCCGTTTTCGGGAAATTGACAGAAATAAAACATGTTGGAAAAACGCCATTCAAGATATGCCAAATAAATGAGAACGTAGGCATTAGGAACCAAATGAAAATCCTATGTCATCGCATGATCTGACCGCTGCTAAATATAGGGTATTAAACATGTGACTAGCACTGGTGGAAACACCCAAAGCCGACAGATGTAAAGAAAAATTATTTTCAAATTGTTGGGTAGACGGGGCAATCTAGGCTCATCCTTGAATTCGGAAAGAAAAAAGAAAAGAGAAGAAAGAGGAAAAGAAATACCTAATACATTATTCAGATGCTGGTAACTCGGGGTGCCGTTTTTCCGCGCGGACGCAACTTGATAACTGTCTCCAGCTCTCTTAACATGTGTGTATTTGCGTCCGATTTCTCTCTCGCCACGGCTTGTCTAGCCCGTTCTTCTTTCATCCGGGCTATTCTTTCATCTCGTGTCATGGAGTTTCGCTTCCGGGGTAGGGCAATAGCTTCAAAAACCTCATGCTCATCCATGTTGTTGTCTGGGGCTGTGAGGTGCTGGTCTTCGCCATTCAATGCCCGAAGCGCCTCCGCTGGACCACCGTCAACCGCAGTCGCGCCACCTAAGCTAAATGTCGGCGATGCTGGCGATCTGAGTAGACTGGTGGGTCGTGAGAGACGATCTGGGTTTTCTAAAGTGGCTAATAATGAAGATTTCCCGGCTTCCCACTCTTGTAGTATCCCTCTTAGGTCTGCGCCGATAGATTGGTAGAGGGTTGTTAAGGTCGTGCCGAAATCTGCATCATCGGTTGCTCGTTCAAGGCTGGCATTTGATTCTTCGCGGATGAGCTGCATTTTAGCATGCAGTCCACGGATTCCTTGAGATAGAGAATTGAGTCGTCTTAGTTGTGCGCGATGACGATCCTTATTGGGGCTGAGCTTGGATTGAGGAGATGGTGGAATAATAATGTCTAAGTCCAGATTAGTTTAGATACCTGTCCAATAAGTTAGGTCCGTTGCACTTACGATCTTGCTCGTTAAGTATGGCTGCCAGCTTCTGCACGCAAGTTCCATTTGTAGCAGCGAGACGTTGCATCTCCTCAATAGCAGTGCTCCAATTTCCAATATCAACCTCCCCACCATCCGCCGGTAGAGCTAGCAGACAGCATAGCGTAGCCTTTCTGGCTGCGTAAGCTCTAGAAAATAGATGTCTTAGGGATCGCAATGATGTTTTGTCTTCCATCGCATTGTCAGCCGATGGTTTAGGTTCGTCTAGTTCCTCTAGTGAGAAATCGTAAATATCGAAATATTTTTCCAAATTAGCAGTATCTGTAAGTAGTTGTAGATGTCTTTTCGCTTCCAAGTATCTCTCTAGCATCTCCGTAAGACACTCTGAAAGAATACGCCGAAGTCTTAAACAACGTCGTGTTTGTGTTTGCTCCTCCAAACGGGTTATTGGGGGCATAGGAGTGCTTCTGTGACAGCTGTTAGAGGTAAACACGGTCTTTAGAAAAGTATCTTCGGATATTCAATAACAGACATTCTATATCCTCTGGAAACTAGTTCCACCTCCTGTATCAAAACAACCGAAGCTGAAGCTGCAGAGTCGAAAGACTGCGCATTGGCGACGAGTACAGAAGCAATATCCACCGCGTGGCGACGAAGGTATTTCAGCCACTGGCGTTTAGCGAATGCGTAGAATGCGGTTGCGACTGCCAGTAGAAGAGTAATAAGGATGCAGATCCGCCGGAAATCCCAACCGGAACCCTGACGAGACCTGGCCCAGTGGAGTATCCAGACCACCGAAAACGATGCCCCAGCTGTGAATATCGCCCCTCGTATACCAAAACTTGCTGCTCGTGTGCCTGATAAATCTGCATTATGAGCTGTATTTGATAGCAACCCCGTTACGGTGCTGTACGAAGGGGCGCTTTGCTCGTTGAGGAGCTGGGACGCAACGATGGTATATCCAAATTGTTCAAGAAAACGCTCGTTCTCGCTTTTTCCTATTTTCGTGCTGACTGCCACCTAATGCGTTTAAGAACGGAGAAAAGTCAGCAAAACATAGTCCCCCAGAAGTTGCGTGCTCCGCATTCTTGTCCATACTTTGCAGATGTTGTGAATCTTGTTCACAGTTTCTTGACGACCCATGGGCTTCAGTTGTAACGGCGCAGGTAGTTTATTTCGTATTCGATCTTGAAATGTAGGGGGTCCTCGAGGAGCGAAATCCACCGTCGATGAATCTAGGGGAGTTAGCGTCGGATGGTGGTCATCTTGTTGAGGCGCCCAGTCTTGCTCTGCTACTCCTTCGCCTGTAGAAAAGCCCGGAGTCAGTTATACGCGAGAGATTCACGGCAGGATAAAATGCTTAAGGCATACCCTCCAGATAGTCAGCTAAAGGCGAATCTTGATAAACCAGCGCTTCCATGGCGGAAGAACATGGTTCGTAGGGGCTTTTATTTGGCCAGAACAGAGGCGAATCCGTTGAAATTATGGAGCGTGTTCTAGGAACAAAACGTAAGGGTAATACAGTGCGACGGAAACAAGATTGAAGGCAGTCCAAATCGTGAGTGGCACGAGATCGTGTGTCTATGTACAGAACCATGAGTCTTTGTTGTTTTGAATCAGTACCTTATCAGGCGATCCCTGTGTTGGGTATAGTTTACGTGCCGAGCAGGAGACTGGCAAGGGGGATTAACTGTTGGGGGGATTGGATTGGGTGATTCGTACCCTCTATACCACCACGGCGCTGGTGGTGATTGATCTCTGTTGCCCTAGTGGCCTAATATTTAATGCGGGAGAAGTTTGTAAGAACACCTGACAGCGCCAAAAGACGGAGCCCATAACCATCTATCTGTAAGAGAGCTGCCAGTCCCTCTGCTGGCTGGACACAGCCATCAACCTCTGCTATGGAACCCCCGTTATCCCGTTTCCCTTCTGGCAGGTGCTGCAAGAGACTTTGTCTCAGTTTCTGGCTTCGGGTTTGGCGCCGTCGGTTCGCTGATAGCAGCTGTACTGTTTTGGCGGTGCCATGAATGTCCCTGAACCGCTAGCGGCCACAGATAGAAAAATAACACGTTCTAGCTCCTCTGCCTAACAAGTCGTTCGCTCCGCCGCCGCATATGCGCCGCTAAATAAACGCATGGTTCATAGGCGTTTGCAGGGTTTTATAAATTCAACCATGTTGCTGTCGTCCTCATTGGCAGTAATATTCATACAGGCCAGTTCCATCATTTCTCCACGAATGGAATGTAGAACGATGGTTTAACGCTCTTTTTTTTTTTTTTTTTTTTTTTTTTCCCAACACAGAGCTCCTTAACCATAAAGGTGGCTTCTTGAATAAAACCACGTTTTGTTGGGGATTACGGATGTTAGACATAGGGTGTCGAGCAATTTACCCTCGTATTAGGATTGGCTAAATTCACGGACCGATCTCCACCATGTTGCAATGCGGGAGATTAGCTGGGATCTGGTATAACATCCATCGATGAACGAGAATGCCTTCGTCTATCTGGGCCGTCACAGCAATTGCCACGTGTTCTTATACCAAACTAGTTTACGCTTGCTCCGTTTTGATCAATGGTCTTTCATCCCTAAACTGACGCGCTACCAACTGGGATAGAGGAGCTTCCTGTGTACAGCAATCAGGGCCCCATGAATGGATGCTCTTTCAGAGCCTGCAGCTAACGGTGACACTGAGATTCAATCTCCTGAGCTACTATTTGACGCTTTTGTAGGCTTCCGATTAGAGCCTCAGATGGCGCATATCTGATCTTGCAGATTCTTAATCTCCCGTCTCGCACGCTACACAAATTGCAACACCAAGATCAGAAGTCGACGTCCTGGCGTTATGTCCAAAACATCAACCGGTAGGTACTTACCGCCTCAGACCTTACGAGGAAGTCACTTTCCATGTTCGCTAGCTCTCATATTCAAAAAGTAAACCGTCTAACTTCAAGCTTATCCCACATTCCCTCATCCCCACACGACGAATATTATCAGTATGATGGGCAGCGCAGGAACCGATGAAAATACCATGACGGGAAAAAAGTCAAGTTTGGTGGTGTGAGCTGTCTGAGAGTCTGCTTTATGGAGATTAGAGCTGAAAAACTCAAGGTACTTAGCCCTCTGAATGAAAAGGCGGGTTTTGATACGCTCCACGCTTCGAAGGAATAGGGAAATGCGGAAATTTCCATCATATGATACATACTCTTGTCAGGTTCGGGGTTTTTCGTGAGGTGAAAGTAAGAATCAAGAATGGGTTTCTTGTACCTGCCCGACAATGACGTTTCGGAGCATGGAACTCATCTGATAATTCAAGCACATCTCCGACCCTCTTGCGCCCTCTTCAGACCAGTGCCGTCCTCTTTTGGAAGGATATTAAAGAATATATGTATATACCTATGTGTGCGTATATTCTTAAGAAGAAATTCCGGGATGTGAATGAAAACTGTAGCAGCTATACAAGAAAGCAGTGTGTCTCAGAACCATCCTTTTTACCAAGAGGACGAACGCAATACTTTGGAGAAATTGTGCGAAATATTATCTTCCTGGTACGATTTTCAAGTATCCACAAGGAATTCAACTATCACTCCGTAGTAGCCAACACCTATCGGGCTATTTGAAGGCGGAGGAATAAAGTATGTACAGTACATGGCTGCCACGAACCACCAAATTTGGGACACGCTGGAGCCCGAAGACTGGGATGCCGATCAATTTGAGTTTCGGTCCGAAACCGGGATCTCAGGAACGGTTGCCCCTAGCAACCCAACCTGCCGACCATCTGTGTAAACACGGTGGTCTCGCTTCAGGACGTGATGATGATGGCACCAAGAGCTTCATACCTCGAAGATTATTTAGATCAGGAAGAAAACATTCGTTATCAAAAAATTTACATAAAGAAATAAACTTTCCTATGTGAATCCAACACACTCCCTATCGGCAGACCCCGTTTAAGATGCTCCCTGGCTCCAGAGACCATAAATTTTATGTGAAGTTTGCTTAAGGTATTGCCTGAAAAACAAAACCGACTGTTGCTCCAATCCATTGCTAAGAGACTTTAGGATCAGTCGCGCTGCTCTATTGCCATTTCTGATAGCCTACACGATGTCGACGCGATACGATGATGTGGGGACTCCCTGCCCCACAGCCTGGAGAAGAGACAGCAAACTGCCCTTTAGAAACAGCACGTATATTAGTGACTTCTATGATGAGTTTGGGCTTTGCGAAGGCGATACTGCCCCAATCGACTTTACTGCTGATGTCCGCACCCCGTTAACAAAAGTGAAACCGAGGAAGGGAGGCCAGGCAAAAGCGTTCAGTATTCACGAGGATGGGCTTGATAACTTCGGGCCCGTGAAGGGCAAACCAACTGAGCCAGGCCTACGTCCAAATGTCAAACCTATATGCAAAAGCTCGTCGATGTTCTCTCAACCAGCTCAAAGATTTCAACGACCTAGAGTCAGTTTCGCCGCTCTGGAAGCGCCGAAAGCAGAAGAACCTGCCGTGCAACGGAAAAGCCCTCCACAACCTAATAAGTCACCTATCATAAGCAATCGCATTACGACGCAGAAAGAGGAGCAACCACCAGTCATTGCCGCCGATCCTCTGAAGAAGTCAATTAGGAGAAGAACAATTTACATTCCTTCTGAAGACACAACTGTGCCCTCTGTTTTCATGGGTATATTCAGCCCAATCAAAAACGTAAATCCTCTTAAAAGAAATGACGATGTCACCGAAGCTTCTGAGATTGGGAGCTTAGAATCCAAGATTATTCGGAAGCGGTCAGCAAGGAAGTCACTCTCCGTCGCGCCTCGCCGCGCACCTCTTCAGCCTACCTTAAAACCGATGCAAGAATCTAGCATAAAACAGGATATACCAGGTCAGAATGGTGGAAAGGAGAACATGCCTCCAGGCGGTGTAACCATTTCTAGCACCAAACATGGGAAACTTAAAGGGGAAGATTTCCCTGTCTTCGATGTGCCGCATGTTGAAAAGAGGAAGAGTGCAGGCGCCGTGGAGCCCGTGAAAAGGGCTCCATCCATTGTTAAGTCAGCCGTGGAAGCGAAGCCAGAGACTCGGAGCAATCCTCCGCCCGCGAACAGGAAGCCCCTTGGTAATAAACCAAGTGTGACCCTGAACTCCAAAATAAGCTTGCGGGGAAAAAACACCTTTAATCCAAAGACCAACGTAAAGGCTGTCCCAAGTCAGGGGTCCAGACCACCACGCTCGTCTCCTGTCCCTAAGCTCTCAGCAAGAGGGAAGCCTGCAGTGACACAACGAGCTCCAACGAAACTTACAGGTCCCAAGACCCTTCAGTTAAGAATCGATCAGAAATATCCTCTCCTAAGCGAAGACATATCTAACCCCGCTATGTATGAGGAGAATTGGCTTGCACATCAAGAGGCGGCAATCACTCAACTTGTGAGTGGTCTTTTTGACTCTGCACGGGGGAATACAGGACTATATAACAGCGATACCCTTAGGCACGAGCCTTCTGGGGATCTACCAAGGAGCCCCCTTCTCCCTCCTATACAAGCGAATCCCACGCATCTCTACTATACGGTTCATTGGGCGTACCTAGAGATGTATTGGCTCGCGGAAATGGTTTGAAGGAGGACATCGGACGAAAACGCACATTCTTGAATTTTTGGATAGAAACTTATGACCTATCCGCGCTTCGAGCCGCCGCGGAAACAGTGATCGGTCGAAGAATACCCGTCCCAAGTCGGCCATCTAGACTCAGCGATTCCAAGACTTCGGTTTTTCCAAGGGAGGGCAGACACCTCCGTCGTACATTGGAGTCATTTTTGGAAACATTTATTCTTCGAAACGAGGATGTTGGGCCTACAATTGCTAGCCTGGATGGGGAGGATGTTGGTACACCGCGTTGGTCGTATCGAAGAACTATTCTGCGCAGTATCATGATAATTGTGCTCCTCGACAAGGCGAGGTCAAATTCAGGAACTACACTGCCGCGATGTTTGTTTAACCCGTCGTCAAAATATAAATCATCCGCAGCTGCTCTCCAGGGCTTAGGAGCTATGTTGTTACCGTCTGCTGGAGATATTACTCGGCTATTGAGTCACCTTGACTGCAGAGTATCCTACAAACAACACCCTCTACAAGAATACGATTATCGCATTAACAACCTTGCAGTAGATCTTCGAGATGGTATACTTCTTACGAGGCTGGTAGAACTACTTCTATACCCATCCGCTTCAGCTGTACTCTCTCAAGAACATGGCCCTGATGCCACCTCCACTGCACTAGCCATGCCAACGGGAGAAATCTTGCCTCTTGTAGAAGGAGAGGAAGACTGGATACTCTCTCAACATCTAAAGATACCCTGCATTGGTCGGGCAACGAAATTATTCAACGTGCAAATTGCGCTAGGCGCTCTGGCCGTCGTTCGGGGCTTTGGCAGCATAGCCCAAGAGATCCGTGCCGAGGATATCGTCGATGGAAACCGCGAAAAAACCATAGCGCTGCTGTGGGGCCTTGTTGGGAAATGGGGGTTGTCTGTCTTGGTGGACTGGGACGATGTTAGGAGGGAAATTCGACGGTTGGAAATGAAAGCGGCAACTTGTGGTGCAGGTAGTGGAAGCAGGCGCGAATCCGAAGCTAGCAGTGAAGAGGTAGAAGAAGAAGAAGAAGAAGAGGAAAAAGAGGAAGCAGATTTCGATGCATGCTATGAGAGGCACTCGTTCCTTCTCAAGAAATGGGCGTCATGCCTTGCGCGACTTGGGGGAGTTCGACTTGATAACTTGACAACGAGCTTTGCTGACGGGCGGATTTTCGGGAGCATCGTGGACGAATACGAGGGCTTCATCGTTGGGGAGGAAGGGAAGCTGAATAGCTCAACAAGCTTGGATGTGAGACTGAGGTTTTTGGGCTGCAGTCGTCAATTTGGTAAGAGTGATGATGCCTCCTTCATTCCGTCATTCTTTGAAAATGTATGGATAAGCTAATGGAAAATCTCAGCCTCGCTTGTGACCCCGTCACCTTCACCTTTAGGCGTATCCTCATCTCATTTTTTTGATCGGGATTGCACTCTCTCAGCTCTGGCTTTTCTTTGTAGTAGGCTTCTACCTGCCTCGAAAAGGGCGCGGGCAGCGATTGTTCTACAATCAGCTTGGAGACGAACGCATGCTCGACGTCAACTCCAAAAACGCATCATCCTGGGAAAGATCGCAACGGAATGTATGGAGGTTGTACAGGAGAGGAAGAGGTTACTATGGGCAAAGGGTATCATCGTTCGTTGGTGGAGGAATGTCGGGGGTAACAGTGGGAAGAAGAAATGCCTCATAAGGAAAACTGGGGCCTCTTCTGACAAACATCCAGCAAGAAAATTGAGAGCTACAGCTCATCCTAGAAATAAAGCAGTGTCGAGGAGATGGAGTGCCAAAGTTGCTTTCACGGAAGATGCTGACCTGGGCCAAGGTCAAGACGGGCGGTTGGCGACGGGTGATCTTCAACCTATAGAGGAGGATCTATGGCTTGACCTTTGATTCTGGCGCCGTGACCCGATAACGACCATTATACACCACTGTTACGCTCTTTTACACACACACACATAATATCTATAAGGGGGTTTTCGTTATTTTTATTTTTATAGCGATGGCGATATTGCGGGGGCCGTCTTGGGTGCTCCGGCGCTTGCACACGGTTATTGATACAGTGGGGGGTCCACTGGTTTCCCTTCCTTTATACACAGACACACACAGTATATATATAGTACAGTACAAAGATCATTCATTGTAAATACATACAAAAGGTATATATATATCCTAGAAACAAGATGCTTTATACACGCACTATGTTTCGTTTGTTTTATTTCATTTGAAACAAAACACGGCTTCACATACACTCCACATTTCAAACGGATGGAGTCCACGAGGTTGCCCCGATTAGAGAGAGTGAATTCCAGTAAATAAACCGAATTTCTCAGAAAACAAGAAAAAAAAAAAAAAAAAAAAAACCCATATGAACCGGATAGGAGGGTAAGCACCAGAGTTAGTTTAAAAAAATCTCCGCTCTTGTGACGACGATATCTAGCTTATTTACAATATAAGCTCCAATCGCAAACAAATCCCCAAAACACAACTCCCCAAGGGAAAGGAGGGGATGGATGCTTGCGGTTTCTTTCTTTCTTTCTTTTTTTTTTTTTTTAAAAAATATTCTTTCGCAGACACAGGGAAGGATCCAGGGAACATGGGATTGACACATCGCAAGTACTTTTTTGGGCAGTTATTTGGTTGAATTTGGTTGGTTGGTTGGCAGAGATGAATGACATCATGGGTTGAGCAGGCAGCTGATACCTACTGCGGAGGTAAGTAACAGAGCCAGGCAGGGAGCGGGAAGCGTTTTATTTCCTTCCTGGCCCGCTCTGTCGACATGTGTTTATGATCCGGGGGGCTACGGCGGGTAAGATTTAAGTGATGCTGATGCTGAATTTGACGAATTTCTTGTCGTTGCGATATGCTGGTGGACGAGCTGATCTGCAGCGCAGCAATCACGCAGTATATATCTAATGCTGTCCCTGTGCTGTAAGGGGGGCTCCTTGTCGTGCACAGCTGCAAGTCCTTCGGTCCAAAAGAGCCATCCAGGGAATCAGCATCGTGTGTGCGTGCATGTACTGGACAAAAGCAGCCGGGCAAGGAAGGCCCCTCGCCCTGTTCAAGGGACTCGGTGATGGGTTGGCTCTTCGACAAGCGCGGAGGTTTAGAGGATCTTTGGGAGTTAGTTCGGCTGCTGACCGCTCTCTGCCAAACCATGTAGTTACCGTGTATCGTGCCTGTCTGTCCCCAATCCCGAAGCGTGGGACGATAACAACAGCAACAAGGCTGGGCAAAAAAAACTAATCGCCATGATTGTTCCAAGTGTGGACCCGCGTCCAGTGTGCAGCGTTCCGGTGCGAAGTGTTGTACCTGTCTGTTGAGTGGTTATTTGGGCACGTCCCTCTGGTTAAATATCCGCACTAAAACCGGGACCCTTCAAGCACGAATGGTCGAAGCCACCAAGCACCAGACCCCGCCCCCCAGCACAGCGTCGCGGGACGGTGAGAGCTTGCTCGGTGTTCAGCCAGTGGACCAAAAATCCCTCATACAACGCGGCGGCACGACGGAAAGACGGCCTCTCGTGCTGCTTGTTCCATGATTGCGTGGACACGGTTCGGCGGGATATGGAATATCTATCTGGTCCCCCAATCCAAACATCACAAGTTTGGCTCTCTTCCTCTCTCCTGAATTTTGTGTGGTCATCCCCTCGCACCGCACGGGGAGAAAGCCGGTGGTGGTGAGCTGACAAGGAAGCATCGTTCTCTCGTATATGTATGTTTGCCGGAAAGGAAAGCAAAAAGGAAAAGGCAAAGGAAAGGGATTGCATCAAGATATTGGGCTAATAATTTAATGATCAATGCGACTCTATGTATGTAATAATAATAAACATAATAAGGATATCCACTTTTTAGCCGGTCGAGGCATTATGATAATCAGTAGGCAACTAGCCAATACTTATTTATTACATACAGAATCAATGTTTAAACTTTTAGGCGCCTGCCTGGTTTAGATGCTGCTTTTGGCCGGTCTAGCACCATTGTACCGGTGCTAGTATACCCTGATTGTGAAACAAACTTGCTATAAATGCACTTTTGGGGGTTGAAGTCATTTACTCATACTTCTTTCATTCCTGAGCTTCGGTTTGCCTCACCCTGTCTTGTCCTTGCTCACTAGGATCCCATGGCGTTCACCTGGGCCATAAGACAGAAATAGCGGAAGGTGTTGGAAGGGTTGAAGGGGTCTTGAAGTCTGCAATTCCGACGGACCCGATTTTAAATGAGCCGTGGCATCTTCTGATGTAATCGCTCGTGCAGTCTCACTGGAGGTCTGCTGACGTCTCCTCTGCCCTCTTGCTTCCCACTCATCCATGACATCATCCCAGATGTCGCTCTCCTTACCGATATCGCTATCATCGCTAGACTCCGCAAGATCTTCATCCTCTTCTTCAAGTGTACTAAATTCTGATTTTCTCTTTTTGGATGTCGCGCTCTTCGAACCGCCGCCACTGTAGTTGGCCTTAAGCTGTGCCCCGCTTAGAAATCCTGCCTTCCACACCTTCTGAGTCTCCTCGACGCCAGTCGACACCTCGAGGCGAATAACATTGAGGGGTTCACCGTTTGTAACGAAGGGCTTCACAGACAGAAGAATGGCCCAAGCGAACCGAGCAAAGAGATAAGGACGGGAGTCGTTTTCAAGGTATTGGACTATGGTGTTGTGGTAGGTCGGCCAGTATTCAGCAGCATTTTCGGAAAGTATGTGTGATACGTAGCGTGTTGAACGAGTACCGGTATCCGTCTCATTCGCACCTCCTCACCCAGCAATCTCTGGTACGATAACGAACCACCGTTTGTCGAAGCATTTATGAATATCCGGTCTAAGTGGAAGGAGATTCGCTGGATTATCAATATCTCGCAAGTCTCTACCATATCAGTACATCCCATATCTATCTGAGTACCAGAGCACTTCTTCGGCACGAGGTGTGCTTCAGTGCATATCGAGAAGTTGGTGATGCCACAGCGAAGTCCAGTGGCTTCAGGAAATACGGATATGGGGCCCCAATTATCTGGGATGCGGTCGTGGGGAACTCCCAGTCCTGGAAACTGGGGACTGTGGTTCTCTACTATGCTGCGGCTGGCGATCGCAGTGTATAGGTGGTGGGTTGGGTGGCCACGCCCGCTGTGGGGCCGGGCCACACCACCACATCCACGGGTATATATATCACTATAAGCGCAACCATTTTAAAAATGGTTACGTTGGCTTTTTGCTATGGATAACCTAGTGGTCATAGTGCTATCTTATCACAGGACAATGGGGTATTTGCCTAGTAGAAATGGATCTGAACAGCGATGAGAAGGTGGAGAAGTTTGCATACTCGCGCAAGCGTCAACCAGAAAATAGTAAGTTGGGTCCGTCAGAACTCCATCAAGTGGGACAGTCACAGGGTGTTGACCATCTTTATCACGACAAAGGCGGCCAGTTTCAAACGCGTTGTTTCCGATGCTCTGGCAGGAAATCAAGGCGGTTTGGTGGTGAACTCCAAAGGTGTGAGGAGCTATTTGATCAACACGCGGAAAGATCAGGAGAATATTGCAGGGAGCTTGATAGCCAGGATGCAAGAAATAGATATTTTCGGATATTGATCTTTCTACAGGAGGGATCGGGGATTGCATGGAACTCAGACAGACTTCCATCAGGCATTTTGAAGGATATAGCGGCAGTAGTGAGATAGAAGAATGGGGGTCATGGTGGAGGTCGTGAAGTGGAGAAATAGAAGAATGGAGGTCGCAGAGTGGAGAGATCTACGGGGTGGCCTTGGTTAGATTCCTACGGAAGCAACAGTTGTTAGGCCGCTAGGGCAATGTGGTATAGAGGGTACGAATCACCCAATCCAAATGGATACTAACAAAAAATCTATTAATAAGTACCGGCTGTTTGTGTTGGGGGGATTGGATTGTACCCACGGCGCTGGTGGTGATTGAGCTCTTTTGCCCTAGTGGCCTAATAGTTTGATAGACAGAACCTACATAACTAGCAGGCTTCAACGCTAACTATAGTTACAACAAAGGTGAAGTGCAGAGTTATTGAATGACAAAAAGTATAATTGCTGTTGTGTGTAAAATTTCACTAAAATTTCATGTCATAGGCTCATGGCTGAGTGAAGCGGGCTGGTGAAAGCGTAGTTAAATTTGGGTGAATTACAAAAAATTGAAAAGAAAAACCTTCGAAAGGTCTCCCCGACAGGGAATCGAACCCTGGTCTCCCGCGCTTGACAAGTTTTTCTTGGAATGACAAGCGGAAATCATGACCACTAGACCATCGAGGATAAACTCAGTTTCGTAAAAATCGAACATTACAGTTACAAGTAAATTCGCAAATTTCTCAATTGTTTCAACAGGATTATATAATTTTTCCATTACTCTACGGGACTACAGAGGATTTTAGCCACTTTTCCCAATAGTTTTGAAAAAGTTTGACTCTAGGGAGACGTGGAGGTGTTTGGTAGCCACCCAGTTCTGAAATAATGCTCCAATGACATTCACTGAAAAATCAGCACCGAGTTTGACATCAGTGGCATGCTCTGCTTTGCTATCGTATTCGAAAGCTCGAATTATACTAGGATTGTTTGCTTTTGCTTTCGAACTCACTTTTTCTTTCTCCGCTTTCTTGCCCAATTGTGTGCCGTTCCCTTTTGACAAGCGACAGGTTGATGTCGCGTTGAGCTCAGTCGTTTATGTTTGTGGATGCTTGTAATGCGAGCTGTCCGCTGTAAAATATCAGAAGCGCATGTATTCTGTACTTGATTGGCATTTACTTTACAGCGAAGTTACCAAAGCGCCACCCTCAAAATATTTTTGGAGGCTTGCAGTGTGGATGATGCATGTCATCACGCTTTTGAAATAAACTAAACCGACCTCGGATGGCGGTTCTGTCGGCCTGAATCTATGTTTCTATGAGCTGTTGCGCCCGAATGCATCATCATCATCATCATCATTATTTTTGATTAGATCGTTGAACTCACCCTGTATCAAGGATGCGGGTTTGAGCTGATGGCAGTTCTTTTTTTTTTTTTTTTTTTTTGTTTCGTTTTCGTTTTCTTAGCAAGGGCATGGAGACTAAATTCACAAAATAGACATTATCTCCTTGAACACTCCTCACAGAAACGACAACTAATTGACGACTAATTTTTCTTTTCATTCCTCAATTTTGCAAGAGTATTCCTATTGGCCATGGATAGGTAGCATTGTATGTGTCAAGCTGCGCTGCACGACTTGGCAATTCCGCGTGTTTTCGTAGGGTGTGTGTCGTACAGCATCCAGGCATGCATGAACAGACCTCCACACGCCGCACGGGCAAGATTGTGATTTCTTTATTGCGCCATGCCGCGAGGAGTTAAGAGGTGTGGTTTCGAATATGTGGTGTACTGGGGCTAATGCTGAGCAACGTCTGGCACACCCTGCGCCGCTGCGGATCAACACCCGCCTAACGGTCTCCAGCCAAGTCACCAGGATACAGGGTAGACACTTTGATCGTCCTGCGTACGAATGCGATTTCGCTCACTACTCTCTTTGAGTAGGTTATAGGTGACGACGGCTTGGACCCATGGTAAAGTTGACTCCACCTGGTTTGATGGATGGGAAATTGAAAAGAAATATCGCAAATTGTAATTGAAAACAAATTTCCCCTTCCCGGGAAAGGGATATCGGACATTGTTCGCCATTCCTGTCGCTGTCATTGTCGTTGTCGCTATCTGGATGAGTTTGCTACAGCGCTCCATTTGCTGATGCTTTACCCTGAGGGGTAAGTCATTGTTCTGATGAACGTTACGATCTGCATACTTGTAAGAAAATCGTAATCGACATTTTCAGATGATGGAAAGAGAGTAATCCTGATTTGAGATGGGGAAATATCGAAGACCACTTCATCTCAGATGAATGAGGAACCCGATCGATTGATTCCATGGCCATTTTTACCCAAATCAATTGCAGACGTTAGTTATTTATTACTGCTTTGTTTACGTAGCGATACGCAATACGCCTAATACGCACCGCGTGGGTCGACTCGGACCCGATTAGTCACCCGCCCGCCCTGTGCCCTTCAAGAACTCGCCGCCGCCCGGTTTGTCTCACGTCCTTCTTCCTCTCTACCATCCCAGCCCATCCCACACTCGCCCAATCCCTCTCTTCCGTCCTCCTGTGTCTATCAATCTCACTGTCTACTGTCCATCTAAGCGCTCTCTGTCTGTGTGGCTCACAACCTGATCACTCCCGTTACTGTTACTTGCTTTCGCTGAGCAGCAGGCTAGCAGTAGAAAATCTTTGCAACGATCGGTGGCGACACAACCTTGGGCTTGACACTTCCGTCTTGTCCGCCCGCCAGATCCTCCCCAGCAACCCTAGGTGCCCGGACGCTACTCGACAGCAGCCATCTGTTTGGGGTTTGCCCCGTGCATCATCCTCGTTTCTCTTCACGTACGAACATCGCCGTCTCGATCACGTCCTTCTGGCCAAGATGACGGTCTACCTCTTATGACAATAGCTTTCTTGATGGGCATTTCCTTGCTCCTCAAAGGTCCTCCATAGATCAGCGGAAGCATACCTTGAGTATTGCCTGGTCGACTCTGCGCGCTATCGACAACAATCTTTGGTTACGCAACCACTTTCCTAATTTCATTCGGGTGGCCTTTTGGTTTTATTTCCTTCGTTTCTCATTACCATCTACCCCACATCACACTTGATCTTGTTTCTTTACATTAGACCTTGATCAGTACGTTAGGATTCGATCTGAAGGATCAGCCGCATCCATTTGCCATCTATCTAGTCGGTTATGATGAATGTTTTGACCAACATGTTTCGTTTATCCAACACCCCGGGTACTCCAACGATCGATGGCGAGGAGATTTCTGCGGAGGCGGACGAGCCACCAGACGATCGTCAACTTAAGCCGTCCTCGAAATTGGAAAATATCGTTCCTCAACCATACACCAAAGCGAGACTTTTTATTCCGGATGCAAAGAAAGAGTCTCTGCTTACCCGGGCTCTACTGCTCTGCGGCCCTGAGCCTTCGTCTATCGATTGTCTATCTCAACCTTCACATGTAAATGGATCCGATCGAAATTACCCGCCGTCGATATATAGCAACATCAGCGGGCCTTCGACTGCAGAACTGACCAGCGACGGGGAGACCAAAACTCCACCACGGTCAGATTCACCAAGTCCACCGATTCCGTCCGGTTTTGCTCATTTGCCCACCACATTCCGTGGCCGTATGCAAGTCAAAAGCCCGGTAGCACCTACCACCGACATTCCCCAATCGGAAATTGAAGCCAATCTTGGACGGAAGCGCTTGATAAGCTTCGCATGTGGGCGAAAAATTGACGACGAGTCGATATATTCGAGCGAACCAGTGAAGGATACAAATGGTGTGCCCAAGCGGAAGTCTGTACTGACTTTTATTTGCGCCCCACGACCAACTGGCGAGAGTGGAAAGACGGTTGAACAAACGGCCCTTCGCGGAAATTCCTCATGCCACCATACTAGCATCTCACCCCTCCCGCTACGCAAACCCAGTTCGGGCCCTTCAACACCATCGCAGGAAAAGGTCGATCGACGCGACGCTCCGTCAAAAAAGCCACCGGGTGCTCCTCGTACTTCGAGGCCTGGTGAGTTTGAACTCTCTGATGCTATTCGTTTTCACGAATTCGGTAGTTCTTTGGAAGACGATGATTGGGTAAACCAGACGACGGTTTATAAGGAGAAAATGACGCTGAATGATTGCATGAAGAAGGAACTTGCGATTAGGAAACTGGGTGAAGAAGCGGAGGAAGAAGCTCGTCAGGACGAAGAGGATGCCGAAAATGATGATGACGACGACGATGATAACAATGATGACGACGACGACGATGAGGATGATGATGAGGATGACGATGAGGATGATGACGACGATGATGGTGATGAAGACGAAGATGATTCAACGCTTCAAAATGATATTTCTGACGCTGGTAATGAGAGCGATAATGAGGCTGGGTTTGCGGACTCTGACGACACTGATAATGAATCTGAATACGCATTCTGGGCGCCGTCGATGGCAACTGCCTCTACTAGCGTTGATAACGCTGATGTTGCCAACCAAGTTTCTAGACGGCGAGGTTCATGCTCTTCAACTGAATCTTCAAACGAACGGAAGAACGGCCGCAAAGTAGTGACACCACCTCGGCAATCTGGGCGGTGCCAAAGACACCGTCGGCCTAGCAAGCCCCAAAAGTATGGACCTTCCACACCACATCTTCCTGATAGCACCGATTTCGTATGTGGGACTCTCGACGAAGACCGCCCTTTGGAAGCCGCGTATATTTCTTGCATGGAGCAACGTCGTCGGGCGAAACATATCCTTATCCCCCAGGACATTGATCCGAGTTTTCCCACCACAGATCCCGAGGACGGAGATGGAGACGATGATGAAAATCATGACGACCATGATGACATCACAGAAAAGGTTCATGCACATGATCCAGAGGGCATTCGCAGGAGAGACAGAAAGCCAGCAGCGGTAAAGTCACTCCGTCAGCTCGCCAAAACGTCTGCAGTCACCCCGCTCCGCGCGTGCCTATGGGAATTCTCCCGACGTCTACGATCGCCCTCCACCCCATCATGAAATCGAGATCTCCTCCCTCACCACGCGGCCATTATCTCGCTGCTGCAGCGCTCCACCCTGACGGTATGAACATCACCGATCTCACGCAGAGGCCCCATCGGCCCACGTACGAGGTCCCTCCCTCGCACGCCAAACCCTTTCTTCGCTCGGCTTGAACGCCGTCGATTGACAAAGGCGATGCCTAATATGACTAGCGCCATCGAATCCAGCAACCACGACTTACACACCCGCGGACCTATTGACATTGTTGTGGGTCTCGAAAAGAAGCGTCAGAAACGGAAAGAAAAATTCTGGCGCCAGCACTGTAGGAAAGCTGCAAAGGAGAATCTTGAGCGTAAGCCATTACCCGGTAAAGGTGCTGAACGCATGAAAGAGCTTGGACTTGAAGTTGCGGAGCGCTTTAAGGCGTATGGCGTTGGCGTTGGGCAAGGTGCTCATCTTGTGCTCTCGATATAAAAATTCACCATATACCACCATATTGCATTGGTTTTTCTGTATCATTTTCCGATTCCGGAAGTCTCGTTCAAGGGCATATTTTGATTTGACATTTATGTTGTTCAAAGACCTTTTTTTTTTTGAAAATATTTCGAGTTTCATATTCTCTTGTGCTACACCATGCTGTATATTCTTTTATTTTAATCTCGTCGCTTTCTCTTTGCTTTTTATATCGTCTCCTTACATTCTTACGTTCAGTCCAGATTTTAGGAGAGGAATGGTCAAACCTTTGTGAATTGATTTCTTCCAAACATGAAGATTCCCCTTCCCCTATCGTGTTCTTGACCTGTCTGGGAAATATTTTATTTCAATTTCATTTCTAGCTTATTAGACTGGGAAAGGATAGGCTTTGATTTTTGACACATTTTGCTTTTCCTGCAGCCGTTTAACTTCGTTTATCACTTTCCATTTCTGTTGTTATCTGCATAACGAGACCATGAGCTTTCGTCCTCGCGTTTTAGTGCACTTCATTAGTGGACACACAATACAATCACAGGGTCAGTAACCCAGCAACAACAAAGTGACCGCAGATTAGACATTATTTTTTTTTTCTTTTTTTTTTTACTTCTTCTATAGATGTAAAATTCTCGGAAACTTGGGCAGCCCTAAGACAATATGCGTTCTTTCATTAAAGATTCCTCTTAGTCCTTAGGATAATTTGCGCACTAGCCCCAATCCAGAATCCCAAGCGAAGCCCTGTTGAGGTACACTGTGGCGCCGATAATCACGTGAGCGATGAATCAGCATATCCTTGGAAGGACACTTCTTACAACCGTCAGGAAGAGAGCGACGACGATGATGAAGTGAAAGAAGGAATAACACATCGGCATCAATTCTCAAATATCACTTGTGGGCTTCTTGCGATTTACACACGCATGCCTCCGAGCAACCAATAGCCAGCAGCCTCCTAGCAAGCAAACCATCGCCGATCAAGTAACTTAGATCCCTTACAGACCCTGTCCTTGTGCTGGGAAGCTCCAAATAACAGATTGTGCTGAGAGAGAACAATAGAAATCCTCGCCAGTTGTCAACTCGGTTCGACTAAACTGTCCCTCGTTCCGCATCTCCTTTGATAACTTCTTGTTATTTTCCCCAACAGGAACCTCACTCTCATCCACGCTATTCCCGATTCCCTGTCATTTCTATTCACCTCAACATAAACCCTCCACGATGTGGATTGTAAACTGGTGTATGTATATATTTACCTAATCCTCCTCCCGCTAATGAGCCAACATGGCAATTTTGCCAGCTATGGCAGTTTCTGCTTTCCTTCTCCTCCCCCAACGGCCAAGCTCCGAAGGGCTGCCTCGCTCAACTTGCTGCTTCACACAAAATAACAGAAAACTGGAAACGAGCCACCTGGGAGCCTGCGTAGTGCCAATATTTTGCGCCTGTGGATGTGTATATGAAGGGATGTTGATAGATAACTGACATGATCTATGAGGTTTATATATAGTCTATGACATCCTCGCCTCCCTCGGGCTGCTGAACAAGCATGCCAAGCTCCTCTTCCTCGGTCTGGACAATGCAGGAAAAACTACGCTGCTGCATATGTTGAAGGTGGGTTGAGCTCTACACATTATATATATATATATATATATATATATATTTGGATTTGTTAGTGGGATTGGCGGGCTTCGTGCTTTTTTCATCCTCACTTTTTCTTTTTCTCTTCGTTTTGTTTCCCAGGAGAAAACGAAGAACAAAGTCACACTTTTGACATCGGGGTGGTTTCTGTGGCTATCGAAGAGAGGCATCGTTAGGTTTTATATTCTCTGGCGGTAGTTGAATAAGATGGAAGTTGGATGGCTCGCCAGGGGCCGTTTGCATAGAGTCATTGCCATTTACTAACACATCTCCTTTTCATAGAATGATCGAGTCGCCATTCTGCAACCCACCGCACATCCCACATCCGAAGAATTAGCTATTGGCAACAACAGATTCACAACATTCGATCTCGGTGGTCATATGCAAGGTGATAACTCCTGTTCCTCCTTTATACATACATTAGCCGTATCTTTTCCCACCACCACTCACTAACGTAACACGTACGTTCTCCACAGCCCGTCGCCTCTGGAAAGATTACTTCCCCGAAGTAAGCGGTATCGTCTTCCTCATCGACGCCAAGGATCCCGACCGTTTCCCCGAAGCCAGGGCGGAGCTGAGCGCGCTCCTAGCTATGGAAGAGCTTGCCAAGGTCCCCTTCCTTATCCTCGGTAACAAGATCGATCATCCAGAAGCTGTACCTGAGGATGAGCTCCGCCACCAAATGGGCCTCTACCAGACCACCGGCAAGGGGAAGGTGCCTTTGGAGGGTATCCGGCCTATTGAATTGTTCATGTGCAGTGTGGTGATGCGACAAGGTATGTTGCAAACCATGAGCTTGTTCCTCCCTCTCCCCACCCCTCCTCGTTTTCTGCCGAAAGCAAAGCCAGTTCCGTAGCTAAGCTCACTTTTCATTCTTTCTCAATAGGCTACGGCGAAGGCATCAGATGGATGTCTCAATATGTCTGAAATACCAAAAAAAAGACTTACGCGCCTGGATTACAATCATCTTATCTTGTCATTTACCTGTTTCCCCTGCTCGTCCTGCGTCCGTCAAGTTTGCACATCTTGTGTGTTTTTCCCCCTCAGCCCATTTTTCGTTTTCTTATTTCTCTAAATCACTAAATCAAACCTTCGGGTTTCCCCGTGCCCTCCTCCTTTCCCCCGTTCTCCTGCTCTCTCCCTGGTCTGTTGGATATGGCAAGAAAAAATATAAATTTCGGGAAAATGTCCTTTCTCCCACTCCTCCCCAACTCCAGATAAATTAATCACGCAATCAAACCATCTCATCAATCCACAAATTGGCAGTTCCCATTTCTTCGCTCTCCACCCGACTCAATGTCGTTATGCTTCCAGTACAGAAAGAAAATAAAAGCACAGAAACCTTCTTCACATGTACAGTACTTTCTGCATCTCAAAAAGTCTCGCGACAAACAGCTCCTCTATTTTTTGTTCCCAATGGTTCACACCTTATCATTAGCTAGCTAACCTACTTACTAGTAGTGTTATACAATTAAGTCCACAATCGCCCCTTTCCTTTTCCACCTCTATACCTAATTAATTAATCAATGTAATGAAAACACGCAGCAGAAACCCGACTTCTATTTAGTTCTGAA